CAGAATATTAGCCAAGATTAATAACTGCTGCCATTTTGTAAATCTGTTAAAAATCTTGGCTTACATATAGACCATACCTAAAGCTGGGGAGTTCAAGTTGCTGAAATAAGCCGTAAAGTTACTGCCACCTTACGATCTCTTTGCCGTCTCAAAAACTTTCTGCCTTTTAAAACTAAACTTCTACTTGTCCAGACTTTGATATTACCCATTATTGATTATGCGGATGTGTGTTACCCAGATCTATCTCAATATCTTCTCGATAAGTTGAAGCGACTTCTCAACAATTGCATTAGGTTCATTTTCGGCTTACGTAAGTATGACCATGTTTTTCGGTACCGTTCTAAGCCTAAATGGCTTTCTATTCGTTAAAGGCGTAGCTCCCGAATTTTACAAGTACTTTATTCAATATTAAATGACCCAAATTCTCCTTCTTAACTTAAGGATAACTTCCAGTACCAATATTCTACTCATGATAGAGTTCCCCGTTCCCAAACTAGTCTTAAAATTCGTATTCCACCACATAAGAATGGTTTCTTAAATTCCTCTTTTACTGTGCAGTCCATACAGCTCTGGAATGCCTTGCCTGTTCATATCAAAAAAACCAGTAACAAACAATATTTTAAGAGACTTGTTCGAGAACTCTTTAACAGGAATAATACCACCTGATTTATCCGATTTTTGTTTTTCTCCCTCTTTCGCTTTGTAATTGATATTTTGTATAGTATATGTATTTTAATATGCATCATGTTATTTTATTTTGTGTTATATCATTTTATATTTATTTAGAGATTTTGTATATATAAGTATATTCATCATTTCATCATTACAGCCCTTCATATGTCCACTGCTGAACATAGGCCTCCCCCAAAGAATGCCACAAAGCACGGTCCTGAGCCACCTGCATCCATCGACTTCCTGCATGTCTTACCAGGTCGTCACTCCATCTCGTGGGGGGACGCCCTACATTTCGCCTACCGGTACGAAGCTGCCACTCGAGAACCTTTCTTCCCCATCGGTTGTCGGTTCTTCGAGCTATATGGCCGGCCCACTGCCACTTCAGCTTACTAATCCGTTGGGCTATGTCGGTTACTCTGGTTCTACTGCGGATATCCTCATTCCTAAGTTTATCACGTAGAGAAACTCCGAGCATAGCCCTCTCCATAGCTCGCTGAGCGACCTTGAGCTTCCTCATACGGCCAGCAGTGAAGGACCACGTCTCAGTTCCGTAAGTCATCACTGGCAACACGCACTGGTTGTACAATTTCGTTTTAAGGTTTTGAGGTATGTCTGACGAGAAAATGTGTCGTAGCTTCCCGAACGCTGCCCAGCCGAGTTGAATCCGTCGACTGACCTCTCGGTCGAAGTTGGACTTACCTAGTCGGACTATTTGTCCCAGGTAAACATACTCGTCAACAACTTCGCGCTTAGTGCTCCCAACAACTACCGGCATAGGTGTGACATGGACATTGAACATGATCTTTGTTTTGTCCATGTTCATCTTAAGACCTATCCGTTGGGAAACACTATCGAGGTCATTGAGCATAGTGCCTAGGTCCTCCAGCGATTCTGCCATAAGGACTATATCGTCGGCAAATCGAAGGTGAGTGATGTACTCGCCATTGATGTTGATACCGTATCCTTTCCAGTCCAGAAGCTTGAAAACGTCTTCCAATGCAGCGGTGAAGAGTTTCGGGGATATGACGTCACCCTGTCTTACACCTCTCTGCAATTGGATAAGTATATTATATCCGTTTATATATTTTGTTTATATATATAAGTATATTATATCCGTTTATATTTTGTATATATAAGTATATTTATCCGTTTACATATTCACTTTTTTTTTCTTTTTATTAAAAAGTAAATAATATTAAGTTTGTATAGTTTAAAAATATTTTATTTATTTGCTTTTTGTTATAAGATATAATGTTTTTACTTATTTATTAATTTATGAGTGGTGTTGCACCTACCACAGCTTCTCAAATCATCCAGGGTTGACTGGTAGAGAATGCCACAAAGCATTAAGTCCGCCCTTTATATCCCTTATTAAAAGGTAGATGTAAAGAAGAATAAATAAATAAAATAAGTTCCTTCGTTCGATACAAAAACACCACGCCACGATAAGAATTCAAAATACGCCTCGTTGACACTAAGATTAGTTAGTTTTACACTAACAAACCAGCTAATACACAAAAAAGGGAACTTAACGCGACGGCACAATTATAATGATTCCCAGACAAGCAACCGGGGGACGCTCTCAAACAAGGAATGCGCGGTTCGAATCCTAGACCGTATATCTACTCGGCGCGCGCGTGCGAAATTCCGCGTCACCCGAGCAAGTTAAATATTGCAAAATTCACTTTCAAATGCAATCACTATATAATTTGCACAATTACTTTCAAAGAAGTTACTTTAATCAGTCGAACACAATAAAAACCTCTTGTCAAAACTTAAACCCTAGACAACCTAATCCGAGGCGGTTTTCGCGAAACCCATTACGTAGCGAAGTAACACGCACTAAATCTAACTATCTGGACCCTACCGGTCACATGAACTTCTGCCGCGATAACCGAGATACGCGGATTCACCGCATCGCGGCCATTGAGCTACTATCCTCTCGCCCACGAGCGTCACATGCTGGGAAGCTGCCTACCGCTCCCCTTCCCCTCGATGCGCGTGACACCTGGTGCCATCGTGCGACTCACGAAGTCGAACGTGATTGGATATCGTACAAATTACCTTTTTTGGGCCTAAACACCAGACCTCTCCAAAAATATTTTTGTATATTCCCAAAAAATATACTTTGTCAATCTCAAATTTTAATCACGTATTTATTGAGTAATTTTTAATAATAACTGCAAATCGCCAGACGAATTTAGCGGTTTTAAACAATTCCCAGACGTGAATAAAGTTTACGAATTAATACGGCATAAAAGTTTATGGAGGATAAGGTTGTGCAAATAAGGTACCTGATGGTAAGTCCGTCGCCGGAATAAACAAATAAATCACGGTTAGACAGTTATATATTTCACGGTACAACACATAGAAACAGTCTCACATGAAGAAGCAGAAGGCGATAGATAAGATTACAAATAGACAAGAGATGATAGCAGGAAGCACAGTTTACAGTCACTTGCATGAAATAGAAAAGAACACTCAAATAATATTAGTTGTGCGTAAGGGCAAAGTTCGGCGTAGGCGCAAGCGGCACAGTATTCGCGTCAGACGATTAGATTGCGATTGGATGGTCGTTGAACATATCGCGACGTAGGCAAAATACTCAGGTACACGGTGTTGATAATAATTAAAACGAATGTTTGTTTCCAATGTACTTCGACCGGCCAGCACCGAGAATTATACTATAATAAATAGAAATAGTATAATATATATGTGTGTGTGACTGTAATTGTATTATAGATAAATATAAATATTATAATCATCATCATCATCATTACAGCCTTTCATAAGTCCACTGCTGAACATAGGCCTCCCCCAAGGAATGCCACAAAGCACGCTCCTGAGCCACCTGCATCAATCGACTTCCTGCATGCCTTACCAGATCGTCACTCCATCACGTGCGGGGTCGCCCTACACTTCGCCTACCGGTACGAGGCTGCCACTCGAGAACCTTTCTTCCCCATCGGTTGTCGGTTCTTCGAGCTATATGGCCGGCCCACTGCCACTTCAGCTTACTAATCCGTTGGGCTATGTCGGTTACTCTAGTTCTACTACGGATATCCTCATTTCTAAATTTATCACGCAGAGAAACTCCGAGCATAGCCCTCTCCATAGCTCGCTGAGCGACCTTGAGCTTCCTCATACGGCCAGCTGTGAAAGACCACGTCTCAGTTCCGTAAGTCATCACTGGCAACACGCACTGGTTGTACAATTTCGTTTTAAGGTTTTGAGGTATGTCTGACGAGAAAATGTGTCGTAGCTTCCCGAACGCTGCCCAGCCAAGTTGAATCCGTCGATTGACCTCTCGGTCGAAGTTGGACTTACGTAGTCGGACTATTTGTCCCAGGTGAACATACTCGTCAACAACTTCGAGCTTAGTGCTCCCAACAACTACCGGCATAGGTGTGACATGGACATTAAACATAATCTTTCTTTTGTCCATGTTCATCTTAAGACCTATCCGTTGGGAGACACTATTGAGGTCATTGAGCATAGTGCTTAGGTCCTCCAGCGATTCTGCCATAAGGACTATATCGTGGGCAAATCGAAGGTGAGTGATGTACTCGCCATTGATGTTGATACCGTATCCTTTCCAGTCCAGAAGCTTGAAAACGTCTTCCAATGCAGCGGTGAAGAGTTTCGGGGATATGACGTCACCCTGTCTTACACCTCTCTGCAATTGGATAGGTTTCGTACTCTGGTTCTGTACTCGTATAGCCATCGTAGCTCTACAGTACAAACACTTCAACACTTCGATATACCGACAGTCAACTTGGCACCGCTGAAGGGACTGCAGCACCGCCCAAATTTCGACGGAATCAAAGGCTTTCTCATAGTCCACATACGTCAGACATAGTGGCAAATTGTACTCTTCGGACTCCTGTACAATTTGCCGAAGGGTATGTATGTGGTCTATGGTGCTAAAGCCCTTTCGGAAACCGGCTTGTTCGGGAGGCTGGAAGTCGTCAAATCTGCGCGCGAGATAATTCGTAATGACTCTCGAAAACAGCAAGTAGACGCGGCTCAGAAGGGAAATCGGTTAATAAGGGAAATAGGTTTCGTATTATGATTCTGTACTCGGATAGCCATCGTAGCTCTACTGTACAAACACTTCAACACTTCGATATACCGACAGTCAACTTGGCACCGCTGAAGGGGCTGCAGCACCGCCCAAATTTCGACGGAATCAGAGGCTTTCTCATTATAATATTATAATATTAATATTAAATTGTATACGTACATATCTGTGAAATAATAATTATTTCTTTAAATAAAATAAATAAATGTGTGCGTCGCCACATCACTCCCTCCAGAGACCGTGTCTACGGGCGATAATAATCTGGGAAATATACTCTGCTCCCAGAACGAGTTGTTTTGCACACAGTTGTTGGCGATGGGCTGGTATTTGGAAGTGGAGTTGGTTTAAGTGGTGGAGAAGGAGTTTGAGTGGGGTCATTGGAGTGGGACAGTATGTAGGCTGGTTTCAGTCGGTCTACCAATACTGTCACGACTTTGCCCTTTACTCTGATTTTAAAAGTTTTTTTATTTCTCTCAACGACCTCGTAAGGACCAGTATATGCCGGTTGTAACGCAGCTCTCAAACTATCTTCTCTGAGGAAAATATGCGAACAAGATGTTAGATCTTTATAAATAAAGATTTTGTTTTGCGCATGGTGTGAAGTTGGCACTGGTTGTAACTTATTGGCAAATGATCTGATACGGGCTGAAAAGTCCGTTATGTCAGTCGTACATTTATCAACTTTGTGGCCAAAAAATTCACCAGATAGTCGCAATGGCTCGCCGTATACTAACTCGGCTGAGGAAGACTGAAGATCTTCTTTGAAAGAGCTTCTTATGCCGAGAAGCACTATTGGCAAAGCTTCAGTCCAGCTGCTATCGGCATGGCACATGATTGCTGTTTTTAATTGCCGATGTAATCTTTCGACGAGACTATTGCATTGAGGGTGATAGCTGGTAGTCCTGCGATGCTTAAAGCCAATGAACCTTGATAACTGAGCGAATAGTGCTGATTCGAATTGCCTACCGCGATCGGTGACAATATCGGTTAGGCAACCGAACCGCGCCATCCATCCCGATAAAAACGCTTTAGCCACTGATTCCGCGGTGATATCCTTTAGTGGTACAGCTTCAGTCCATCGCGTGAAGCGATCGACAGCTGTTAAACAATACCGATAATCACCAGACGGAGGTAAAGGTCCGATAAGTTCTAAGTGGACGTAGTTGAATCGCGCCGTAGGTAAATCGAGCGTACCAAAAGGCGTCGAAACGTGTCGATTTACCTTTGTGTGCTGGCAAGCCAAATACGCCTTAGACCATTCGCGACAGTCTTTCCTCATCAGTGGCCAGACAAAGCGTTCTGCCACAAGTTTTGCGCTAGCGTTAGCGCCGGGATGGCTTAGCGAGTGCAAGCTATCGAAAATTTGCTTGCGTAAGTCTTTAGGGACTAAAGGCCTGGGAGTCGTTGTGCTGACGTCGCAGTACAGTTCATTGCGACTACCAGGTATCTTTATTTTTTCAACTTGTAAGGAAGTGTCCTGCCTTAGCAAATCTGCAAATTCAGGATCGGAGTATTGAGCCTTGGCAATGACAAGATCTACAGGGCTTAGCAGTTCATCGACCTGCTCAACCCGGGAAAGCGTGTCAGCAACGACATTATCTTTCCCGGCGATGTGTTGTATGTCGGTTGAGAACTGTGATATGTAGTCTAGATGCCTAAAGTGCCGTGGACTGCAATTTGCCTTTCGTTCGCGAAATGCAAAGCACAGCGGCTTATGGTCGGTATAGATGGTGAATGGTGTTGCCTCTAGCCAATGTCTAAAGTACTTAATGCTCTCGTAAACAGCAAGGACCTCCCTATCGTACGGTGAGTATTTCCTTTGCAACGGGCTCAATTTACGAGAGAGAAAGGCTAGGGGCTGCCAATTACCACCAATTTGCTGTTGCAAGACTCCACTTATTGCAAGATCAGAAGCGTCAGTTACAAGACCTAGTTTTGCCTTTGAGTCAGGATGTGCCAACAATGCTGCATTGCATAAACTTTCCTTGCACTTTTCGAAGCCTTTCAACGAGTCTCCATTTAAATTGACAGGATGCGATGCTTTAACAGCGCCAGTCAATAAGGCATTCAAGGGTGCTTGGATCTTGGCAGCTTGGGGGATAAACCTCCTATAAAAGTTTATCATGCCCAAGAACCTCCTAAGCTGTTTGGCTGTCTTAGGAACAGGGTACTCCTTTATAGCCTGAACTTTACTTTCCAGAGGTTTCGTGCCATGTTGTGAGATGTGGTAGCCTAGAAATGTTACCTCTGATGCACCAAAAACACATTTAGCGATGTTGATGAGCATGCCATAATTCTTTATCCTCGTAAATACTTGACGAAGGTGCTTTCCATGCTCTAACTCATCGCGTGAAAATATAAGAAGATCGTCAAGGTATGGGTAAACTGACTAGCTCCGCGCAATCCGAACGTCATATATGGGGACTCGAAGAGTCCAAAAGGTGTCGTAATGGCAGATTTGGGAACGTCTGCCTCAAAAATTGGTATCTGGTTATACGCCTTCACCAGATCTATGGTTGAAAAAATTTTGCAACCAGATAAATTGTGGGCAAAGTCATGTATGTGTCGGATAGGGTACTTATCTGGCACTGTCTGGGCGTTGAGCATGCGATAGTCAACGCATGGTCGCCAACCATTGTCCTTTTTGAGAGCGAGGTGTAGTGGTGACGACCAGGGGCTCTGGGAAGGACGAGCAGTTCCATTTGCCAACATTGCCTCGAACTCGAGCTTGGCAATTTTCAGCTTGTCCGCGGCGAATCTGCGTGGTGTACACGACACTGGAGGGTCTGGCGTGGTACGAATGTGATGTACTGTGTGATGCTTGGGTGTGCGATGAGCGCCTGCCGATCGTGTCAGTTCTGGAAATTCAGAAATTATTTTATGAAATTTAGAATCACCAATCACGACCTTTACACTCAAAATATGGCTATTGCTAAAAGCAATAGAAGCTACAGATGACAATTTAGTAGTGGCATCAATTAAAAACTTATTACGAACGTCGACAATAAGGTTAAAATGTGACAAAAATGTACGCCTATAATAGCCTTAGTCACATCAGCTACAGTAAAGCGCCACAAAAAGTCTCTACGTAGGCCTAAATTAAGCTTGAGCTCGACATTACCATATGTGTTTATTGGCGAATCGTTGGCTGCACACAGTTGGTAGTCCCTCTTCACACGTTGTTGATTAAGCGCAGATCGAGGGAAGACGCATAAGTCGCTTCCAGTGTCCACCAGGAATTGAACTCGCGATCTGCGATCTGTCACAAAAAGGCGATCAGTATTAGGGGACGGGCAATCTTCAGTCGCCATTATAGATTGCCTATTGCGTTTCCCGATCTGTAGTCACATGGCGCATACACCTCTTCGCTTTGCTGCCATATTTGTGATGGTACCAGCAGTTGGGGAACTTCCTATAATTAGACTGGGATCTTCTCGATGGTGTACGACTTCGTCCACGTGACGTCTGTAGTTGGCGGGGGCGAGAGCGGTCATTAAGTCTCGTAGTGAGTGCACTAACCTGTTTTGTCAGTTCCGTGATCTTCCGTGCCATAATATCTAATGTGGAGTCCACTCTGGAGCTGGATGTTGCTGCAACCAGCGGCGATGCCGGTGAGATATCGTGGACCCTGTCTGCCAGGTCAGCGAGTTCGCTAAGGGACAGGCTCATCTGGGATGCGATGATGGTCTACAGGTTGCTTGGAAGGCGGCTCGTCCAAGGTGACCTCAAAAAATCGTCTGGTATCGTAGGGCCAGCGAGGTGTTGCAGGTGACGCAGGAACTGTGATGGCTTGCGATCACCTAACTCTTCCGACTGTAGGAGCTGTTTCACTTTCTTTTCTTTCGAAATAGAAAGACGCTTGATTAGTTCACTTTTAAGTTTCTCGTACTTCCCCGTGGCTGGAGGCGAAGTAATAATATCTTCTACCTCTACTGCATACTGCCGGTCCAAATGCGAAAGAACGTAGTGGAATTTCGTCAACTCATACGTAATTCTCGATATACTAAACTGAACTTCAATTTGTGAAAAGCATATCGTCGGTTTTTCCGGCCAACACGGTGGTATTCTCACGCCAACACGAAATATATCTGATGCATTATCGTGCGAGTCAATGGACACGCGCTCGCGTTTTTTCGTTGACCGCGCCCATCTTTGCGAATGCGTTGTGTCACTACCGTCACTGCTCATCTTACTTAAATGTTCTGCTCGGGGTCACCAGTTATGGAGGATAAGGTTGTGCAAATAAGGTGGTAAGTCCGTCGCCGGAATAAACAAATAAATCACGGTTAGACAGTTATATATTTCACGGCACAACACATAGAAACAATCTCACATGAAGAAGCAGAAGGCGATAGATAAGATTACAAATAGATAAGAGATGATAGGAGGAAGCACAGTTTACAGTCACTTGCATAAAATAGAAAAGAACACTCAAATAATATTAGTTGTGCGTAAGGGCAAAGTTCGGCGTAGGCACAAGCGGCACAGTATTCGCGTCAGACGAATAGATTGCGACTGGCTGGTCGTTGAACATATCGCGACGTAGGCAAAATACTTATTATTATAATAATTAAAACGAATGTTTGTTTCCAATGTACTTCGACCGGCCGGCACCGAGAATTATACTATAATAAATAGAAATAGTATAATATATATGTGTGTGTGACTGTAATTGTATTATAGATAAATATAAATATAATATATATTATAATATTAATATTAAATTGTATACTTACATATCTGTGAAATAATAATTATTTCTTTAAATGAAATAAATAAATGTGTGCGTCGCCACATGTTTCATGCGTAACCATATATGTGCCTCCTCGCACTGTTATTGGTTATTTTTAGATTGTAATGTAATGTAATGTAAATATCTGTGTATATAGTTTGAATTATTTTAGATCAGTGTTGTAATAATTTGTATAATAACTATTCATTTTAATCTCCTAAAGCTTGGGCTTGGCAAAAAATATGTTTTGATAATTATCGCCCCATGTTGTTAAAAAGGACAATATGTATAAACTGCTTACCGCCCAGAGATGAAGGTGGAAAAAATAACAATTTGCAAGTTCTCTACAGAAGTAACTTTTGTCACAGTGATGTCTATCTGTGTATCTGTACCAGACATATATGAGTTTTGAACTAACTAATCAATCACAAAGAAAACGCTAAACAAAATGACATTCCTCTTATCATCAAATAGTGTAAAAAACTAAAACGGAATAATTGACTTTCAAATTGAAAGCGCGATTCAGGTTTCGCCGCAGTTGGCGCGGTGACAGCGCTACCACATCACACCCCTGCTCAGACAAGAGATCGATAGTGCAGTCCGATTGCCGGTGCGTCCTTAATGCCAGTGGGGAATTCATATTGTGTGTCAGGCAAGTGACCCCGGTGCTTAGTGTGATACCTTATTCAAGCATTATCAATATACTATATTGGAAACGTAGCAGAATTCTTCTTCAACAAAATCCGTCTGCCACACAAAATTATTACTTGGAGTATTTTACCGCCCTTCTCTCACAATGGACCACTTTTTTATTTTAAATGATCCTTTAGTGAATCTTACACCTGTTTATATGGTGCCATAATAATGGGTTATTTTTAGAGAAAAGTGAAATCCTATCACACCATTATATTGACCTCAATCAGTTTAATCAGCACTTCTCCTCTGCGATTACCTCTTGATTACCAAGCAAGGCAAAATACTTTGAATTTCCTCTCTAATATTCCAACTCCAGGCTATTCGGCTTTTCAATTTAGTCAATTTGATAGTTGTTATGTCGAGAGAGCCATTCTTTTTACCCATTCAAGTTTAATAGGTTGTGACTGTATTAGTCGTAAAATGATCATTTCTCTCCTAGGTCTCCTAACCCCTGTAATTACTTTTATCTTAAGTAATTCCGTGAAAACTGCTTTTTTCCCTCTTCTTAGAAAGACACCTGTGTGATTCCTTATCCTAAAGAGACTAATCCTTAATGTTTTTTCTAATTATCTGTCAATTGTTTTACTGCCTTTCCTATCTAAATTGTTACAACATCTGGTGTCCAAGCAGTTAAGCTCTTATCTACGCTCTTTTCCTTTTCAATCCGGTTTCAACCCATAGTACGACTACAGCATTTTTACAAATTGCTGGTGACATTCGTTATAGCACGGAAAATCAAAATTAACAATACTCACTTTGTTGGATTTCAGAAAGGCGTTTAATACAGTCAATTATGATATCCTGTTAAATATATTGCGTTCTTTTAACACATCTCCGGCTGTAGTTGACTGGTTTCGCAGTTCCTTGTTTGGGTTCTTGGATTGCTACTGTTGCCGGCCTCCCTCAAGGTAACGTATTGTTTCTATTCTGTTTGAGATTTTCATAAATTCTAGAAGAAATCAACTGTCTTCTACTTACCATTAGTACGCAGTCGATCTCCAAATTTACACTCAATCTTCTCTTGATGATTTACCGAAAGCTATTGATACAATTAACGCTGATTTGCCTTGTATTTTAGACTGGTGCAAATCTTATAGATTACCTATTAATTCCACAAAAACTCAAGCAATAATTATCGGTAGTTCTAGATCAGTTGCTAAAGTTGACTTCTCTCTCATACCATCTATTCTACTCAATATCATTCACACCCCTTTTAATGACAAAGTTAATAATTTTGTAATATATATCGACTTCTGTCTAACATGATCACAGCAGGTTAATGACGTAAAGAGGAAAATGTTTGCAGCGCTAAGCTCTCCTTCTCTCTGACTACAAGCCTATTAACGCTGGTGTTCCACAAGGCTGTGTGCTATCACCAACGCTGTTTCTTCTGCATATCAATGATATGTTGCTAACTGGTAACATTAATTGCTATGCGGATGACAGCACTGGTGATGTTCTATACACCGGCCGTGCCAATATTTCTCGGGAAAACGTCGCCGAGTACCGAAATAAACTTGTGTCTGAAGTCGAGTCTTTGCTGAACAAAGTCTCGGATTGGGGGCGACTAAATCTAGTCCATTTTAATCCTCAGAAGACACAAGTTTACGCGTTTACCGCTAAAAAGAACCCCTTTGTCGTATCTCCTCAGTTTCAAGGCACTCCCCTTCTTGCCTCAGCCAGTATCGGTATCCTCGGAGTCGACATATCGAGTGACGTGCAGTTTCGTGGTCACTTGGAAGACAAGGCCAAATTTGCCTCTAAAAAGCTTGGCGTGCTCAGCAGAGCGGGACAGTATTTCATGCCGGCACACCACCTGCAACTTTACAAGGCGCAGGTTCGGCCTCACATGGAATACT